TCACCTCCCTGGTCCTGCTGGCCACACTATTTCTGCTACAAGCCAGGATGCCATTGGCCCTCTTGGCCACCTGGGCACACTGCTGGCTCATGTTCAGGCAGCTGTCAACCAACACCCCCAGGTCCTTTTCCTCCGGACAGCTCTCCAGCCACTCCTCCCTAAGCCTGTAGCGTTGCATGGGGTTGTGACCCACGTGCAGGACCTCAAGTTAGCTTTCTGTAGCAAATGAGGGAAAAAGCCACCGAGCCCTGGCTGACTGGGTGTTGCACAGAAGCCTGCGCTACGTGAAGCGCATGAGGTGACTCTGCAGCCTCTTGAGGAGCATCTTGCTCTGAGGACACAGAGCAGGGACACAGGAACAGCTTTGTGCCATAGATCTAGCTGGTTTGTCCTGCTCTGCTTGAACTAGGCAGGCACCCTTTCCTGAGGAAAGCTCACCGGTTATCTAACAGCAGGCTTGCCCGATCACACTTGAGCACACAGGCTGTCATTTGACAACACAGATTAAAACATCAATCTGGTTTTGAAGGGTTTTTAAATCCAGTAGTCCTTACAGCAAAATGTGACCAAAACTCCCATACCGTGAAATCATGGGCTGTAGTGTCTTTGCACTACTGCCTGTGGTAAGGGCTGCCTAGTTCTGGGGCATAGCGTGCAGCAAATCAGTAAATTAGCTTAGCATGACTCCAGTGCAACACAAGCAAATAAATCAAGTAACAGGGAGCAGCATTGGCCAGCTCGTTGCAAAGACATCTAAACAATTCCTTGTGCCGCCAGCACAGGTCTGGCAGACCCAGTGCTGAGCTAGAGCTAATAAAACCTGGCAAACCCAAGCTGTGCCTGCATCTGTGGTGCAATTAATCTGTGACACGAACAATCTGCCTGCAGATAACTGTAAGCTGACTATATGTACAAATTTAACAACTCACATTAATTAATACTTACAGCTAGATTGGAAAAAATATCACTAATATTTGGCAACAAATAGCAAATATCATTACAACTCACAAGTGTGAAGTTCATGCATCAATAATTATGAGACAGATAGCAAAGTCATGATACTGTACATGTGCATTTTGATTTTGTAATTTAATTTTGATCTCCCTATTATTATCATCTCTTATGATAGACAATTAACATAAATTATGTTACCATAGCACACAGAAGTCCCACTCACAGGCACTATTGCCTTGAGTGATACACAAATAGAGAACAAAAGGTACACCACAACGTGTTAACACAGACCTATGACACAAAAGATGATAGAGTATGAAGAGATGACAAGAATGGTCAACATGCCAAGGAGACATCTTTGCATACTAGCAGCTTAGCTACTGTCAATTTTTATAGGCATCACCGTAAAACAGTCCATTAGGGATGGAAGGCTTTGCATGATTATAATGAGAGTGCTTTTTATTTATAAATTAATTATAGTTTCTATACCGTATTACCAGTGTTCCTCCTGCCCATTTCAGTTCAAACCGAGAACAACTGTGTCAGGACAACAATTTCTGCTTCTCCTGTTGCGCTGAAGTCTGCAATCCACACGGGATAGCTTCAGCAGTCTTTCCTCCTAAATCCTAATGTTAGGGAGGGTAAGTGACCTAAGAGGGGGACACACTTGCTAATTTTGGCAAAAGGCAAAGCGTTACAGGCCACAGCATCTAGGCAATTTCTCCCCTCTTCTGAGAAAAGTGTCATCTCCTGGCAAAAAAAGGCAGAAAGTTCAAACAATCTCCTATAATCATCCTAAGTGGCTGCTCAACCCCAGCTGTTAGGCAAATGTAGAAGTTAGTAGAGGTTTATCCATGTGCCTGACATTCATAGCTGGTGCCCTTTTAAGATCATCTCTAGCTTTTGCTGAAATCTTGCAACTTGCAAAAAAGTCATGAGCCCTGGCAATGTTTCAGGTACATTAGCTGTCAAGGCCCAGAGCGCAGCCCCCTTCTAGGAGTGTCGTTGCCTGTGTTGGAGTTTAGCTGTCTGAGTCCAAGGTCAGCTGCTCTGCTGATAAGACCTGTTTTGAAGAAACCTAGAAGCAAGGGCATCCCTCTCCTATCCCTTGGGAATGCTTTTAAGCTGAGGCTGTACTGCTGGCCCTCGCCTGTGCTACATCACAGCTGGGCAGCAGCTACATCTAGACCTGGTCTCCTACCTCCTCGATCCTGACTCTGATCCTGACTCGGACCTGCTGGCTGGGCTTCCTGGCTTGGTCTCGGACCTGCCTCATCACTACGGCCTTGCTGTGTGATCACCGGACTATGTCTGACCCTGATCACTGTCTCTGGCCCTGATCATGAACCAAAGATGCTGCTCCACATCCTGCTCCTTCTTGGTGAGGTCTCTGCTCCCACCTGCCTTGATATTGTGCTCCACCCGTGGGTCACCTTCCCTTGCAGAGCAGCCAGCCCCCTCTGCCCCTGACATTGCTGCACTAAGCCCATTACCACAGTGCCACACTTAAAAATTTAATCACATGGAGCTGTTGACGTGCAGAACAACTGTGCTGTCTGTCCACAGAAACAGAAGCATAACTGATGTGAGGTAGCAGAGACACACAGATTCATCTCTCACAGCTCAGCTACCTATCACAGCCATGCAGCTGCTCCACACACCTTTGTTTCATGTTAAATGAATTCCTGCACTTCAAGGTTGTGTAAAGATTTGTAAAGGCAGCGCACCCAGCCATCAGGATAGCTCTGATTTGGGGGAAGTCTGCAGAATGCAGAACCAGGATGAAATTTCTTTCCTTGCATGGGGCTCGTTAGGACTGCTGTGGCACTTCAGCTATTCTTGGCTAGACTGGCTCTGGAGGCTGTAGAAACCCAAGCGTACAGATGGTCAACGTGCATATATTGTAATTATTACTGGGCTGCAAGGCCGATACACGAACTAGAATCCTGTTGAGTTTCGGTTCAATATACGTTGTGTATAAACAGAATACAGATGCACAAGCACCTAAATATAAGACAGGAGATGACAGACACACACAGATGGAGGAGAACCATTTTTAGTACGACAGACTGTGGTCTCGGTACACCAGGAAACTTACCATTATCAAATTTCATCACAACAAGAGGTGATCATTAGGGAGGGTTTGAAGAAGAAAGATGATACACTTGTGTGGATATTTAGGAGAACTGGGACAAAAATGAAGGAAACAATGACAGCAAATAAGAGGACAATGAAAGAAAATAAGACGCTTTTCTGAAAACTCAACAAGTGGCTATAAAATATTGATGTATTCAGCTGACAAGAGAAAGGACCCAACTACTTGGTACAAAAGATAGATGATGACAAGTGGGAAAGGGATAGGCTGTGAAAGCTTTCAGTTAATAAAAGATACTTGCCAAGACCAATGAAAATAATGTTCTGAGAGTTAGGATGAAAGATGAAAACACAGAGAAGTGGTGTGGATGGACAGGGAGAACCATATAATAGAGATCTGACACAGAGAGAATCCTAAAGACTTAAGAGTTGGACTTTAATAGGTGATCTATGTGATAATTTTAGCTGAACCTGTGTCTGCTTTGAAAAAAGAGATCGTCTTACCGATTTTATACTGTCTAGATGCCCAATCAACAAACTGTTAATAATGTATCTTTCATTTGTGATTTAAAAAGCTAACTACTATTTGACTATTCCAAAATTACACAGTCTAGCAAGATTAAGCATCGAACAAGTGATTAGCCTCATCTGATGTGATGGAATGACTCAAAAATCACCAGGTATCTGTGAAAGAATCAAATTGCCTAATTCAGTCATGCATTTACTGGGACAAGAAAACAGCAGTGAAGAATGTGGGAAGGGATGGACATCAGAGGCATGTGTGCATTAATAGAGTGGCAGTGGTGCCATTTCCACCTTTTTCTGCTTATGCAAGTATTAAATTGGTTTTGTTGCATTGTTTGTCACTGTGGTCATCCATTGCTGCTTCCTCTTCAGTTTACTCCTTTCTATCCTCAGCCCTACCATTTACTCACCCAAACTACACAAACTGCACTTCCACGCCTCAACCAACCAGTCTGCTCTGTCCCGAGATCTCCCAATAGAAAAAAGTCTTTCCTGCCTAACTTATTTTTCCAAAAACATCTTCTTGGCTTTGCCTGCTTCCTTAACTCAAAGATTCCCCCTCAATTGCCCCGAGCACTTCTAACATCTAATTGTTTCCCGCTGCCACCATGCCAGCGTGGTTCCTAACTCCCCATGCATCCTCAGTTTCCTCTTACTCTCTTTCTGTTGCTGGTGACTTCTCCAAATTTTCCAAAGATAATTTCTGAAATCTTGATGTAATACTGTAGGAAACAACACAGTGACTCACTGTCTTATTGCACTGCAAAACTTTAAACGTCTGTCTTTAAAAATATGTAGAGCGTATCCTAAGGTATTCAAAATATAAGAGCTGCTGTGATTGACTGTCTTAAGAAACAATAGTTGTTTTGTTTGCATTTAGAAATGTCATAAGATGCCAGAGTACATTGTCCTAGAATGTACATTTGTGTGTTTTAGTTATGTTCACAATGGTAGAAACAATAATCAAAATGCAAACAGGGAGCACAAATAATTTGATAGATTGTTTTACAAGTATTTTATAGTAACTCTAATGCAAGTCTGTGCTATTTAATGAGCTGCTTTCTTTTTCTGTTTTTTCCTTTGATCTTTACAGCTGTCTCCAAAAGTACAGAAAACAATATGCAACAGTGCTGAGATCCTGATGACAATACACCAAGAACAAGAATGGAAGTAAATTTATTCAGCAATTCTACTGTTGTAAACAGTTCATCCATCAACCATAAGCAGTTAGAAGGGCATAGCCTCTGGGAAGTCATTACTATTGCCACTGTAACTGCAATTGTAAGCTTAATAACCATAGTGGGAAATATTCTTGTAATGATATCCTTCAAGGTTAACAGTCAGCTCAAAACTGTCAACAATTATTACTTGCTCAGCCTTGCTTGTGCAGATCTCATCATTGGAATATTTTCTATGAACCTTTATACATCCTATATACTCATAGGCCATTGGTCTCTTGGAAGCCTTGCCTGTGACCTGTGGCTAGCACTGGACTATGTAGCTAGCAATGCCTCAGTAATGAACCTCCTAGTCATCAGTTTTGACAGATATTTTTCCATCACAAGGCCTTTAACTTACAGGGCCAAACGCACACCCAAAAGAGCTGGTATCATGATTGGTCTGGCTTGGCTAATTTCCTTTGTGTTGTGGGCGCCCGTAATCTTGTGCTGGCAGTATTTTGTGGGTGAACGAACAGTACCACCTGAAGAGTGCCAGATACAGTTTTTATATGAGCCCATTATCACCTTTGGTACTGCAATTGCTGCTTTTTACATTCCAGTGTCTGTGATGACTATCCTGTATTGCCGCATCTATAAAGAGACGGAGAAACGTACCAAGGACCTTGCTGAACTGCAGGGTTCGGAGTCTGTGGCAGAGTTTGAGATGATAAAGCCTCAGAAAGCTCTCCTGAAGTCTTGCTTCAGTTGCAAGCAACAAAACTTAGTCAAAAGAGAGAGGTGTCAGGCTTCCTGGTCTTCATCTAGTCGAAGTACATCAGCTACGGTGAAAGCCTCTCAGGCAGCAAGTACTTGTAATGACTGGGCTAAGGCTGACCAGTTAACCACCTGCAGCAGCTACGCATCTTCAGAAGAGGAAGATAAACCTGTCGCTGTTTCAGTTTTCCAAGTAACTTACAAAAGTCCATCTAAAGGTAAGGCAGAAGAGTTTAATGAGAGTACGGATGTTGTTGTCAAAGACCAAGCTGAAGAAAATGATTTTGAGAACCAGAAATACTTTTTGTCACCTGCCAAAGGCCACGTACAAAAAAGTAAAAAATGTGTGGCCTATAAATTCAGGTTGGTGGTTAAAGCTGATGGCACCCAGGAAGCCAACAATGGTTGCCGTAAAGTAAAAATAACTCCTTGTTCTGCTGCTCTGTCAAAGGATCCTTCCATCAAAAGCATGGATCCAAATATAAATAACCAAATCACCAAAAGGAAACGGATGGTTCTTATAAAGGAACGCAAAGCAGCACAGACTTTAAGTGCTATTCTTTTGGCTTTTATCATCACATGGACTCCCTACAATATCATGGTTCTGATCTCCACATTCTGCTCTGACTGCATTCCCCTGACACTGTGGCACCTTGGATATTGGCTATGCTATGTGAACAGCACTGTTAACCCCATTTGTTATGCCCTCTGTAACAAAACTTTCAGGAAAACTTTTAAGATGCTGCTTTTCTGCCAGTGGAAAAAGAAAAAAGTGGAAGAGAAACTATACTGGCAGGGCAATACCAGACTGCCATAATTGCTCTTATATAAGGGATAAGGGGGAAAATAGATATTGATGTAACCTAGTAAATTGACTGTAATTCTGTCTTTTCAAAACTGTTGCTTTATAATGTCTAGGGGGTTAAAAAAATTCTGCAGAAAAGTAAAATTTTGCATTAAAGTAGTGTGCTTGGGATAAAGAAGTCAGTGGCTGCTGTGAGCAACACAGGGTGTTTTTGATTATGCAGTAGATCTGCATTAAAGTTGTTATGTTTGGGTCTTCTGTCCTTTCTTTCAGCCTGAGAATATGTAGAGTAAATTATAAACTACTAGAAATTAGAGTGGGATGGTCGTCCAGTCATCAGGTCAGGTCATCCCGTCTAATCTCCCTGTAGTGCAGAAGTGTTTCTTCCTATAGTTCCTTTCTAGTGTATTGTCTATTTAGTTTTCAATGTACCAAGCAATGGAGCTGGTACTATTTCTGTTTTGAGACTTTTCCACCTACTGTTGGAATGAAACAAGGACTATTTTAAGGGGGAAATGCTGTCATCCCCAATACTAAATGGTTAGGGAGATTCATAATACTCCAAATGAACACACATGTTATAGGAGAATGTAATACTGAGAAAATTTCCGCTTTAAGGATGACTTTTGTGGAGACATAGGAAGGGCTCATAGTGGAGGAAACAGTTAATGTATTTTGTGTATGAAGAAGCCAGTCCCAATCCCAGTTCCATCATGCAAGTCACTGTCTTGGTGATAGTTAGCAGATGCCTCCAAATTTCTCCATTTCCCAGTGCCTCTGAAGGAAATTTTAAAATTTTATGTGATAGTGACAATGGTAGAAATCAGAACTGACTGTAAAGCATAATGGACATAGTCTATCTACTTTACAACACAAGGAAGGTCTTTCTTGCAATCTCCTTTGTTGTTCTTCTCCTTG